CAGGGGTGCTCTCTTCAGAGGTGATCCCTGACCAAGATGGGGAAAGCACACCTGTGTGTGCTGATGGTGTTACAGCAGGATCTTCCAACAACAGATAGCTAAGGAGGTGCAGGAGAAACAGCACTAATTTATGTGAGGTGAACTTATTRTTAATGGAACTGCTGGTAAAATAACTTTCCATCAAAGCTTTTCTCAATGGAAAATGAGGTGAGTGAAAGTGCACATAAAAAGTTCTACATATCTACTCTCTTTGGGATTTCTATCTTTCAATAAAAATAATTATTGCATTGGCTTTTTTTCCATCTCTTTATTCTGCAAGGGAAGTGGGTGACATTTTTCTAAATATCTCTTTTGTGAAGATCTTCAGTCAGCACCATGTGAAGACCATATTCTCTAGAAACCTCATTCTCTAACTTCACCCTTTTCTCAGCCTTCCATTCCACCTTTTTAATTCCCCAGCATAAGGTCTTCAGAAAGGTACAACATATATTTGATTTTCCTTTATTGATCCCTGGTGCTAAGTCTCTAAGAGCTTCTTTTATAAGGACTGCTGTTGGTTGGTTGAAGATATTGCTAAGAAACAGATATTGTAATGCAGTCAAGTGGGATAGAGGAAGCTAAGAAATCCTGATATCTTTTTCCAATTTCAACTATCATCATCCCTGAGGACAGTTTCATTTAAATTTTAGGTCACTCTAACCCTGAGAGGATGTTGAGCAGATCCTCATGGTACAGAAGGTCCTGTAAAGTTACAATGGTCAAAACTCTCCCCAGTCTCTAGCTGGGAAAAGCTGCTGAAGCAATCACCATTTCATGTCTTATTTTCCATGATTTTCGCACATATGCAACAGTGGTTTTCTTATTATTATTAAACATAAGATCATATGTCCCACTGGGGTTTGGAGAGCATGAACTCCACAGCAATCCTTGGGGCAATGATACACCTGCTCTGGGGGCTTTTGGCTGCCACAGTGAGAGGTGTTTTCTGGTGAGTGGTGCATTGCAATGGCAATTGATTACCCCAGGAAGAAGATAATCAGTATATTTGTTACATTTCCCCTTATAAAATATCCCAAAAYTTCTCATTTATCTTCATAACCTCTCAGCTGATGAGTCAAGGCAGAGAGACTGATGTGAAGCTGGGGATGGTGGCAAACAGAAGACACAAAGGCACAGAGATTGTATTTAAAGGTACGAAAGGGTGTCAAGCAAGGAGATAAGACTGGAAAATACTCTGATAAATGTGTTGGAAGTTCAGGCAGGATGGTGCAAGGAGTGGAGGAATCAGCTGTGGGAGCCTGCTGAGATGCATGAGGGGAGCAGGTTGGAACAAACACCACAAGAGTGATTTTTTTGGGACAAACCCAGCGATTTGGCTTTGACWTGCAGGAAATCCGGGCAGCAGCACTGTGCTGGAGGTGAATCAGAAACAGCAGCAAGAACTGTCAGASAAGAGGAAAGGGGGAGAGCCTGAGCCCTGTGCAGAAACAGGGTGAGCACTCAGCTGCTGAAAGGAAGGAGACAGACTGTGCACATGCTTGGGGAAAAGTGGCCATTGCCCTTGTCTTGCTCACCACAGCCCTCAAAGAGAGCCATGACCACAGCAGCCCTCAGGCCTCACATATAGCATTTGATGCTGGAGTAGCTGCTGTCTGCCAAAAATAGTCATGTTCCTTGTTCAAACTAGTGGGGAATGGGGATCTGCCTCTACACTCATTTTTAGTGTATATGTCTATTAAACTGAAATAAAATTTTAAAAGGTGTCTGGCTACCCATGGTCTTTTCCAGATGTGTAGTTCAGTCCTGCAGCTGTTGTAAGTTCAAGGAGCGTGTCCCTGGCTATCGATTTTTCTGACACCTTTGAATTAACTGAAGGTTAAAGTCTGTCAAGAGAATGTTTWATTCATGTATTTAGCAAGCACAGTTCTTTCATCTGCCCACACAATATGCCAGGAAATATGCTAAACTGGAGCAATAGCTCAATCAGGGTTAAAATGAGAAACTGTTAAACAGAAACACTTTTGCCAAGACACTGAAAGCAAGTATCAGGATCATCTCTAATTATGAATTCTGCTAGCTGAAGTAATTAAAGAGCTCATTCTGGACTTGCTTCATGGCACTGCTTCATGTTACTGACTAGTGGGAATCTCCTGATCCTGAGGATCTCAATTGGCCCTGGATGTCAGTGGTGCCATCAGAAGAACTGGACTCTGCACTGGCTTGGCCACTTCTACCTGACAAAAGCATAGCTAAGGCAGAAGAGGAAATACCAGCTCATGTGACAGGTAATTCCTGCAAGGGAGACTTACTCAAATGGAAGAAACAACTGGATGATGAAGACAAGCTGGCCATGAATAAAGCTCAGCTGGAATTTGGAAAAAAGTTTCTTTTTTGCTACAAGAGCAGCAGGATTGTGAGACAACCTTCCAACTGGCACAGCAAAGCCAAAAAACCGCAGGAAAAGATATCAGCCCAGACCCAGTGTTGTGCTTTTAGCTGGAGTTAGGTAGTTTTATGAAACAGACTGTGGAAACAAAACAGCAGCAGATTTGTCTCTGTAACCCAAGAGATCTCCTTCAGGCTGATTATTTAATGCAGACCATGAAATTTGCTGCACTGAAAATGCCATCCCCTCAGCAGGTTTCAGTAGGTATAAGTGGGTTTGATGGATACCCACATTTTGCTCAGGGTGAGAATGTTCCAAAGGACATGAAATGGCCACTTAGGGCTTAAGYATTATAGTCCAGCTGGAGCAGTAGTGATGCTACAGCAATTTACCTTAATGACTCAAGAGCATATTTCACAGCAGTGCTGTGTAGCTGTTCCGACCTAAAAGCCTGTTCATGGCTTAAACTCAAATTTATGCYACTCATGGAATACATCTAAAAGGAAAAAAAAAACAAAAACCAACAGCATATCCACCAAAACCAGGAAAAAACCCAGATGATTTAAAGATGTGAAAACCCAGAGATTAAATCGTGCTAAAGGAAAAATTATACCAAGAGTGCCAATGATAACACCAGTCTCATAATAGAAAGACCATTGCCTTGGGGGTCAGCAGTGAAAGCCATTATACAGCCATTGTGGGGTGCAGTGTGGCAGGGCAGCAGCAGGATGCCCAGACTGCAGCACCAGTCAGAGGCAGAGCTGAGGGACTACAGCCAGCTCAGCAAGCAGCTTTCCTGTTTTTTGGGRTGGCACATGGCTGTGTCACTGCTGCAGGTGATATCACCAAAGGACTCTGCAAGGGCTGTTTCCAGCAGAGACTGTCATTAGGCAAGAGCTGGAAGAGAACAATATGGGTGTGTGGGCAAAGGAAGCTGAAGCAGAAAGAACTGAGCCCAGTCCAGATACAGTTTTAATTAGAAAATCCACAATTAAATGATAAACGTTATGTATCTGGACACATCAGTGTGCTTATCATGCTCAAGAGTGATTCAGCTTTTTAGTTCTCACATCTGACAGGCTGACCTCTTTACACTTACATTCTCACTGCCTCTCTCCATTAAGCATATAACGCTGATATATTCAGAGAATCTAAAGAAAAAAGAAGGGAGGAGTTGTTAGCCTTAACATCTGGCTCCATGGGACAGATTTTGCAAATGAGGGATGGACTGGCGTTTACGTGCTGCAGCCTGGAGCCCAACTGTGGCAGCACCCGCGCCATATCCTACACTGTGTGCTTTCCTTGCAGCTTTGCCCTGTGAAAGAGAGGCTGACACACAAATTGGCAGGGAAGAAGGAAAATTGGCTGAGGCTATCTTGGAAGTGCATGCAGAAACCATCAAATCTGATAGTTATACTTTTCCTGTTGGGAAGGTGTGAACTGGAAGTATTWAATGATAAGGAGTAATGGGGTGGCAGCAGCTGGAGAAGCAGAATGGGACAAACCTGAGCTGTTTGTTACCTTCAGCAAACTTCACCTACTGCAGCCCTATGTTATTTGCCTGCCCCWGGGCTCCCAATCACCCTCTGCAGGTTTGTCTCCATGCCAGCACTGATCTGCCCCTCACTCCTTCAGTCACCCAGCAGCTGGGTAGGAGGAATGGCAGTGCCTCAGGTTTTCACACAGTGGAGGCTGTGAGGCTACATGAGCAAAGCCACACAGAACATCACTTCCTCTGCAAGTCAAGAAGCTCCTGTCCACCCGTGCAGGCAAAATCTGTCTGCTTCTACTCACCATGACATAAGAGTTGAGCTACTACAGCTCTGCTCACTCCAGAGTGGTGCTACTGATCCTACACCAGCTGAGGATCCCATTGCAGGTGTTTCAGCCTTGCCTATTCCATCCATACCTCTTCTWTGCTTTCTGCCTAAAGCAGGTGGCACAGAACCTCTCTCCAGGATGCAGCAGAAGTCACAAATGAAGTTTTCACAGCCACACTCAAAATAGACAGTGGGCAAGTTCTAGACAGGAACAGWAAGRTATTAAAAAATAYTTACTAGATTGAGARTCAAGKGAAGATTGTRATGATGCAACCKGTGCCTTTGGTTAGGCACTTAAYTRGTAAAACTGTTTAATTATCTTCTAYGGACTGGCAAAGTGGATAGGCAAACAAGGAACTCACATTCCTTACAGCCAATAAAAAGCAGTGCAGGTTTTAGCCCTACAAATAAAACTTCATTGTGTGAAAACTTCCTGGCTCCAATGTCCACACCACCACAAAGGATCTGTCTTTATTTCCATGGTATTTATCGGATAACCCAGCTATAAAAAAACAGAAGACAATAAATCATACCCTTTTTTTTTTTCTTTACTACTGTTTACCAGGGAAGACCCCAAACCAGCAGGTATTTTGGACACATTGCAATTCCCATGCAGCCACCAGGGTTCAAAGCCAACTAACATCTTGCAGAACCAGGCTCWCCCATCCCAGGTGAAAAATTCTGCAGTGCTTCCACCTGCAGAGGCTGCCCAAACCAAAGCACCAGGCTGTCACCAGAGCAAGCTGCAGCAAGAATAAAGACTCATATTTTTTCAGTTTCTTTCAGCACATACAACACAGTGCAAATGCCTTTTTTGCATTATAATTTTTATTAGATGAACACATTTTAATACATAACGTGTACATGTCCTAGGATGCAACATGCTCCCTCCCCTACCGAGTTACAGAACACTGACACAGTGAAGGGGAACACCAGCTCTGCRTTTGTGACCTCACAGGGATGTTACAGATGGCTGCAGTGGAAGCTTTGCACACAGGTAGGTCTACACAGGACAGTTGGACACACATYAGGAAGAGGTAAAGATCAGGAACAAGGGAGTAAGCTGGATCTGCCCTGGCTGAAGGACTGCTCTCAAGAAGTTGTTCTGTCTTCCCTCCCAAATTCCTGAGGGARCAGGAGTGTGAAGGATGGGCCATGATGCAGCTGGAGCCCTGCAGAACAGAGCACTGTGTGATGTCCCACATGGCACTGCCACCAAGGGTCCCTGTGAGAACCACTGCCCAGGGTGCCAGAACCAGCCATGGCCCATTCTGCACTGGGTCTGCTGCTCTGCTCTCTGTGCAGGGTGAACATGGGGGGCTCCATCCTCCTCSCACTGTTCATGCCAAGATCTAGTGAAATCACTGCATAAGTCACTGAAGACTAATGAGATTTGGCATTTTCCTGCTGATCACCCCACTCTTGCACTCCTGTGAAGGGTCACAGGGCAATTTCAGGGTCCTRCTTCTGAACCATGGTATTGCCTGAATAGGACATCCCAAATAAATGTCCTGATGGTGGAAAAGAACCAAGAAATCCACTGAGAGCTTGGCAGCTACTCTTCACTTCAGTGACAGCACTTGGGCTGCTCAACATTAGAATCAGATACTTGTTTTAAAGAAAGTGTAAACATGAATTTACGGGCTTTACTCCAGGTTCACTYCCCTTGGAAGGTTTGATTTTAGACAGCCAACAAAAAGGAAAAGGAAAAAAAAAAGAAAGTCACCTAGGAAAAATCAAGAGTTCAGAAGACTCATCAAAAACTGTTTCAGTCTTACAAAGCACGTGCCTTTTGACTCAGGCCTCAAAATAAATGTACTGTATTATTAAAAAAATAGCAATATAGAAACTACCCCTTTTTCAATTCAAAGTTTAAGCATATCTAAGAAGACCCTAGAGAAACAGTCCCCTTTCTGGCAAGGCACTATCCAGTAGTGTGTGGCACAAACAAAAACACCTCTATCAAAGCCACTGATACAGTGAATGTGCACGTGCAYGTCAGCCCACACAGCAACTTCAGCTAGGTACAAAGATTAACAGTTTCATTCACACTGCTCTCCATTTTAAAAATTGGGGTAATTAGAAGTATTAGCTAGAAATTGAGATTATTTGGTTCTTAAGCATAACTTTATATGCCAAAATTTTAAACAGAATTAAGAATTTCCTATTTCTTTCAATAAATGTCTCTAGTTTCCCCAGACCTTTTCAGTTACCTGAATCTACATTACTACAAAACTAATTAAAAAAATTCCAGATCATCTTGTGTAACAAACTAGAACTCTACTTGCTTTAATTACAAAAATAAGGCTGTTGTACAACACACAAAATTCACATCCAAACATATATATTTCTTTTTTTTTAAACTAGCCATTTAAAATTCAAAAGCACATATTCTATGGGACTTACACTGCCAATCCATACAAGCAAGCAGGATATCTTTGGAGCCAGTGTTGTCCTCCATACAACTAATTATGCCCACATGCGTGCTCTGAAATAAGCCAGGTTTATTTAAMAGCAGAAACAAGACTAACTCTCCACTAAACGAGAGCCTTCTATTCTACAATTATCAAAATTCAAAAGGAACTTTGTGAAAGTAATTTCACCCCTGGAGAAATCAGTGTGGTTTTTCCTTTCACATCAGTAAGCCTGGGATTTCACCCAGGATTACTCATGGGTACATGCTGACACACTTAGGTAAATTTTTCAAACCTGGGACTTCAGGCAGTTCTCAAAGTTTACAACGCATCAAGTACATTATAAATCCAGGATGGCTTCTCTGTAATCAACTGCAAAATTACATAAATTTATATCTGTATTCATCTATAAAGTTAAATACGTCACTTCTTTTTAGGAATAGTTATATTGAACTTGGTGAAGTTAACAATGTACATCTCCACCTCATGTCATATTCCCTTCCTACAGTGAGGTTCAAGTCTCATGAAAATATGGGATTGGTTACAAGAAYGTCACAGTATCTTAACACAGACAACATAATTCTTAAAAATGCACATACATACACCAATGCCCCTTCAGGGTTCCTCTGGAGAAGGTGCTCTGACAAAGATTTTGACCATTAAATACAACTGTGGACTTCAAATCTGTGTGTGCTCTTGCTCCAACTAGCCCTTTAGCTGAGCTGAGGAGCTTACTGAAGGTAAACTGAAGGTTTTGGCAAAATTTCATTTTAAGACAGTCCAACTATAGAACTCCAACCTTGGGTGTTAAGACTTTCTCAGTTAAGAGACAGCTTCCTATTATCATTACCTATGAGACACCTTTAGTTCTTCTGAACTCCCCAGTATTTCCACCAAGTGTTTTACTGAACATTTCACCCGTATTTGGAAACAYGTCAAAATATTTCACTTTGGCACCTCCTTCATGATAGCAACTTGTTTTAAACAGTCAGTTGCAATGTGCATCATTAGACAAATCAAGTCTTCATTATCAAGATTAGCAGCCCATATCTCTTAAAATAACCATGATCTAGAATAAACATCACAATAAATAAACGTTGAGCAAAAATACAGCAGTTATTGGCTTAGATTGAGATCTCAAGATTGATGCTTTTTATCTTCTGGATCACAGCCAACACAAACATCATCATAACCACCAGCATTTTAACTAATATGATGAGCTAATTTGAATTACGGTAGTGGGAAGAATTAAGAAGTAAGGAATATGACTACATAGGTATACCCATGAATGACAGAAGCCTTACACTTCCACTCCTTATTCTCAAACATACATGCCTGTTAGAATATTAGGGCCAGCTGCAAAGCAATCCAAAGACAAAAGTGAAACAACAACAGTGAGCATTTTTAAACAGGAAGATGAGTAGGCCASCCTTAATCCTATTTCATACAACGTGGTTTTAGCTCCACATTGTTGGAGAGCACCATCTCATGGCAAGCAGACTACTGGTAATGATACATGTTTGCTCTATCACAGTGATCCATTGGGGAAGCTGTTATGTGCTGAAGAACAGAGTCATTCATTCAGGAATGTGCTTGTTGATACTTCAYATGGGCTTTCTAGGGCTCTGACTCCTACTGAAAAGAGAAAATAGAAAAGTATTATCAATCATTATTAATTATTATTAACAYAGTATTAATGTAATGAATACATTCTCATCTCCCATACCTGTGACCTTTGCATAATAAGGTGACCCTAACCCTGAACCACATTGGAGCTGAGGACGCATCTCTCTGAAGTACCACCAGACTGAAGCAGGAAATTTATAGAGACACCCCTCCGGGCCTCCAATATCATATTTTCTAGGTGCACAGCTGCGTAGAAGCTGCTATTTCAGACTGCATTATAACATCATCTTTTTCCTAGAACAAGTTCTCCAAGCTATAAAGCGAGGCAGGCTGCCAAAATAACCTTCTTTTACAGTTCTCTGCTGAGGTTCCTTCCKGCTACTGTCCCTCAAGGGGTCCAGAAATAAATTAATGCCTGGCAGAAGAAGAACTCTATAGATACCCAAGAGTTACCACCCCATCTTGAAACAGTACTACTACCAAATCACCCAYATTTAAAGTATCCAAAGGAAGGAAAATCCTCTCCTATGTGTGTAATCTGCTGCCAAAAGGTGCACCATACACAGTCTGTTTGAACAAGATTTCCATATGGCAATAAAATATCCTCTGTTACAGTGCCTTCAACAGATAGATGTTATTGGGCTTTGTGTTCTCATGTGTATAAAAATATTTGCTAAAACTGAATTTAAAAAGTTAACTCAAGTTCTGACTGCTCCAGCATTTCAGCATTAAAGATAAATTGATTAACACCTAATGAATAAATGCTGAGCCATTATGCCAGGCTGCACATAGCCCAGTGATTAAGATCATAGTTCTATCTCCTGTTATAATTAAGTCAGTTGGTTACAATTTAGATTGATAATRTGAAGGAGAATGTATTCTTTAAACTTAATTTATCTGCTCTCCCAAACTACTCCCACATATATGCTTGTATTCATTTAAAATGCTCTACTTTTCCTTACAACTATTTCAATTACTTCGTTAACATGAAACTGATATGGACAAGGTATGGATCAGGGCAATGATGCATCCAAACACACAAAATTCCATCCCATGTAGTGATCAAAGAAAATTCAATCTCAACATCTCAAGAATTTAATGAAAGTCTGTAATACTCCACTGACCTTTGATGCCAAAGTAGGTTTCAGCCCAAGAAAGGAGAACACAGTGTTGCTCTCCTTTGATTCAAARAAGCCATCGTAATCCTAGAGAATTAAAAGGAGAAAAGATGACTCAACATTTGTATTTGTATTGATATTACCACATTTGATTACCATATTTGATTGATATTACCACATCTTGTATTAGACTAAAGGGTGACATGTAATATTGATACTTACCTCCATGCTCCTATCCAAACCTAAAACCTAAACTGCAATGATACACAAATTACAAACTACAGTGKCAAAGAAAAACACATACATTCTCTCACTTCAACATCTCTCACTACTTTGACAGAGAACTATAAGCATGTACTTGCATGAAAAGAAGCTTTGTTGTGGATATATTTTAAAGGTATTTAAGTGCCTGGCAATGTRAATAAGYTTCTGAMCMGGTTTCCAATTTGTCTKTYAGCAAACAAAATACTTCCTAAYATGGAAACCTCCAAGAAATCCTAAYGCARCTGAATTCCTTATTCCTTCTGTGGTAGAACAGAGACTTCATCATCACTGTATCCCTTGAAATCATCAATCATATCTCAGCCTTGAAMAACAACATAGTTAAACATAAAAGGTTACCATAAATAAACTTACAGTATATAAATATGAATAATAGTCTTCATTATCCAGTTCCTTTTAGGCTGTTCTGATCTCAAAGTGTTACTACTACTTTTACTGATTTGATTATCGCATTGGACACCTTCTTCCCTTCTATCATCAGATGAGATGGCAATACGTTGTTTTCAAGGGGAAAAAACAGGGAAAACCAGAGCACAGTTCAGTGAATGGATTTGGCATATGGTAAGGAGCCAAGAATTTTCATACGCTCCTTGTGGTTTGGCAGAGATTTTGTCTATGACCACTAGCAAACAATAATGCATCCAGTTCAGACTCTTTTCCTCCACCACATAATTGCAAAATGGAAATATCAATCCTTACTCAACCACTCCTGACATGTAAAATACTCTGTAAATGTCAGGAAATTTCAGGTATGTGCTCATCACTACATAGCAAATATCTAGCAAATATCTCTTAAATATTCAAGATTAATAGTTACACTTAAGTTGAGAGCATTCAACAAGACAAACCCTTTAAACATTGATTGTACACATACATGCTTTCAATAAAGAAYAATAACAGGCAGTCTCAGTGCCTCCACATGATTCCMTTCTGTGMAACAGCYATTCCCAGTGCAACTGACCYCCAAAGTCAGCACTACTTTGGCTCCTAACCGATAATCTCATCACTTTTTGAAAGCTCTTCTCAGTGTAAATTTTTCCTAGTTTTGGCTGGGACATAGTTTAAGGTGCTTTCTCTGAAACAGGGMCTCAGCTTTCCCCCAGCGGCAGCTGCTTTGCCCACTTGTCTCCTTCCACACCTGCCTTCTTGTGAACCCYTAACCTCAAAACACCCCACAATCACAAGACACCATGGACAATAAACAGAAAAAAAMCTAATTGAAAAGAAGAAATCTTTCTCTGACCTGGTTATTCTTGGAAGGCTGTCACACAAAAATTAGGAACCTTCTTTTATTTTCCAACCAGACTTTACTCATGCCTAGCCATGAGTGGACACATGCCTAGCCAATATCCMCTTGTGTTAACATTTTGGCTTCTCAGATCTAAGCAGGAAGCTAAAGTGGTCTGGGAAAGCTTTCTGCTTCCAAGGATTCCTCTGGATTTTCCCAGTGCAGTGTGAATCCCCAAATTCCCTTTATTCCACCTGCCAGATCCAGCTATGAGATACACCAAACTATATCCTTGCAAAGGGGTGGTTGGTACTTTGTGAAATACCTCTGTAGAGAAAGTGTGCGCTGAAGATACAGACTTCACTCTTTTTTTCCCCTCTACCAATGTAAAATAAGCAATTGTTTGGACAGAGAATACATAGACAGTGAAGCAAGGATAATATACCTCCCATGAGATCCATAACTATTCTGCAGATGTGCAGAATTTCTCCTAAAACCTTTTTGGGGCACTAGATGAAGATACTTTATCAGCATTTCAATAATGATCTACTGCCATATCAGTGTGAACTGGGATACTTTGTAGTTGTGTAATTATTCAAACAGCTTCAGCACCTCCAAAAACAAAATCCATAGTTGCACAAGGACAGTTTCTCAGCCTAACCCTCCATACTAAAAGCATGTGTGAAAGACACAGAGAGGCCAGAAGGAGTGTATAATGGTCCTCAGGCCTCAGATATATTAGCTGACATAAGTAGAAAGAGTAAACCTTCTTAAGATGACTTTTTGTTATTTTCTTTTTAAAACATGTCATATGCTAACTTATGAATTAACATAAATTTTCAATTAATTGCCAGGAAGTAAATCCAAGTAAAACAGGCAAATCAAATAACCCATAGTGTAAGCTGAAAAGSTACTGAAAGGAATCCCAGCAGCACCACAGATTCAAAAGGGACAATGTGATCACTGAATACCTACCTAGAGGAGTAATAAGTAATACTGAAGCTCTGCAGAAGGATATTTAATTAAGCCCTTGGCCTCTAAGAGTGAGACTTCAAAAATTGCATGGACACTATTAGGCCTTAAAAAAGGTCTGTTCTGACTCTTCTAAAGCAGATGAAAACCCATGAGGGACACAAGCTAAATAAGCAACAGGCGAGAAGACAGTGTGTGATCTAACTGACAAATAACATTAATTTTCTCCACTGGGGTCATTGACAAGTGAGTCACACAGTCTCTGGAGCTGAAGSTAGGGCAGCAGTGGATGAGTACAACCTACAGTGAGAAGGACCTCTTCTTTAAAATCAGGACAGGTCTGAATTTCCTGAAGATGCCCATTACAGCCCTGTAAACTACCAGCAGCCAACCCTCGGGCAGGAGGCAGCTGTTGTGGTAGACACCTTTTTGGGTCTCCATCAGGAGCACTCTCCCTCATAAGCACACAGGCAGTTTCACCAACCCCAGACACTTGTTTGTCCCAGCAGTTTGTCCAAGGAAGGTTCTGTGTTTGTTGAGGTGAGTCATCAATCCCCGTTTTCAAGTTTGGGGGTTCTCCTGAAGTCTCTTAATCCCAGTACTTCAATTAGCTCTAGAAGTATTGCTACTCTAAGACCATGTTTTTTTCACTCTTTCTTAATAAACTGGTAAGATAAACAGAGCAGGAAAGGACTCAGACACTGAAAATGTCATAAGAAATAAGGCTGCACTCCTGGCTCTGACAATGACTTKGACACTCAGCTAATCCACCAACATCTGTGAACATCTGTTTAACCTGACCTCTGTAAAGTAATTTAGTACTTAATAATAAAAAGCTGTCTTCAAGTACTAGTTACCATTTTACTTTCAAAATTACCAAGTCCCGACTTAGTACAGTTACTTCACATTCTTACTGATTAACAAACCTGGATTCACTTACTGAAAAAAATGTGAAAGTTAAATGGTGAGCTAAACTAAGTCTATGTTTGAAAGAGCACAAAACCCAGTAGACTGATTAATTTTAAAAGGACCTGAATATTTAAGAACCACAAGAGATTATCCACCAGAAGCAATCTCCCCGATGGTTTGAAATATCTGCATGGCAAAATGTATTTAAATGCTATTGACACTTACTTTCATGGGCGGTGGGGGAGAAGAAGCATCATGCTTTTAGATAAAGTGGAAATGAATTCTAAACAGGAAAATTTTCCAGTGATGTCTGCAATTAAAACATATGATCTCAAAATATTCCAATGTGAAAAAAGTTACAGAAATGCATATTAGTCCTATAAAATGTTAAGAAATTACTTTAGCACTATAGTTTCTTAAAAGATTATTGAGAACTATGATCACAATGACTCAATGGCTGTGCTTTGGCATGTGATAGGAGTTCAAAGTGGGCATCCCTGGCTTTTCCTGTCACATGGGTGAGATAAAAGATGCTCCAAAAACACCCTGCCTTTGATCTTACTGTTATAAGGAGAGGAAGTCTGTGCAGATTYGGGCCACATGTAAAGACACTAAATCCATGGGTGAGGATATGAAAATTCTTATCTCAATAAGGAAAATCACACTGCTATTAGCAGTAGATGCAGAGGCTGAAGAAGTAAAATAGCACAACTTCATTGAAAGCTGAGAATTTCACACACAGGCAGGAGCCAAACTCAGGGGTGACCCAATGGGGTCCACTTGGAAAAACTTTGTGGCACATTCTGCCTCCCACAGAGGAAGGACACCACCACTCCCTGGTTTTGGCAAGGCAGTGGTTCCCTCTTTCTGGATCAGGCTTCACCACCAGCAGCAAGTTACTACAACCTGTTTTCATTGTCCCAACCAATTCCATCAAGGTAGCAGGTGCTGCAGATTTGCTGGGATCAGAGGAGCAGAGCTGTCCTGCCCCTGTGCAAGGAAGAGGCTCCTACAGTCAAGGGGAGAGAGCAGCTGTTAAACCTAAAAATATACAAGTATGGCAAACTGCTACCCACTGCTCCACGTCAAAAGGCAGCTATGTGTACAAACATAATGCTTGCTGTAGCATTTTAAGCTACAGAGYTCCTAATAACACTCCAATAACATAAAATTTTGTAGCTGATTAAAACTGGCAAAAAACTGGCTACTAAAACTAGCAAGACATGGAGACAGTGGACATGAATCATCAGCGATGCAGAGATGTTCAATCCCTCTGGAGAATTTGAAAAGCCAAAAATACAGACAATAAATCCCACAACAGAGGGTATGAAACACTACCAAGAAAGAAAAATGCCAGTTAGGAGGAAAAAATATATCTCAGGATGCTTTGAGGGGATAAAGAAGGGACAGGAGCATAAAGAAGGTAAGTAAAAAGCTATTTCAAGGCAGAAAGGGCTTCTTACCAGGATAAAAACTATCTGTCTGCTTTAGGCATGGTTCCTTACCCTTAAAGTTGATGGCAGCTCGATCACCCATCAAGTAACCTGAGCAAGATACACCCTCTCTGCTCTGTTGTAGCACCAGAGCGGTTACAGCATTAAACATGCTCAACGAGCTGCTGGAGAATGGATTAGCTGACCTAATAAGCTCATGCTTTGTTGAAAATAAACTGAAGCTACTGAAGGTGAGCTACTTG